TCTTTCTTCCCCCAGATGATAACATTTGGACCTGTGATTTCATCATAGTAGAGTCCAATGGGCTAACAGTATGATATTCCAAAGAATTCCAAATGGGCATCTTGTGGAGGGCAGAGGTGCATGGTGGGTGTGAGCAGATCGCAACATAGAACCACCGAGAAACGACAAAGGTGAACTGAAGTCAAGAACAACAAAGAAATGTACCCTTCCCAAAAGAGATGGTCTGGTAACATGGCAAGATGGGAAAATGGCTGGTGGACAGTTCAAATTCTCCACTGGGATACCTACCATACCAAAAGAAATTAAGGAAGGCCATGTTGGGTGGACTCCCACCCCACCCTTAATCCCTCCACGATAAACTTTCAGGAGGTCATAGGAGTTCTACAAAAAGGGCAGGGATAGATAGATGGGAGGCACTCTGCACCATTGGAAAGAATTTCCACTTCAGTGAGATCGCAGATCCATTGGAATATTTACACAATGAGAGAAAGGCCTTCCATCAATAGAGGTCAGCAACTTATCTCTATAATTGCAAGTTACCTGGAATGCTACAGTATTTGAGTGGCTCACCCATAGTCAGACAGCAAGTATATGGCAGTCCTATGACTTGAACCCAGCTCTTACAGAATCCAAGGCCAGCCCTCTAACCACCACACTAGACTACCTCAAAACATAATATTCACAACATGTCTCTTTCTGTAGAATACTTTGTTGGATCCCGGGACAAATAAAAAGATCGCCTAACACATGACCCTCTCCTCATGGAGCATGTAGTCTAGTAAGAGCATAAGACACCAGTGCGTGTAACTAGAATCGAGGAGCGTGCCCAGATCCTTGAGGAGATGATGAGAAGACTGCTCACCATTTCATACTAACATAGACTGAAGGAACTTGGGCTGTTTAACCCAGAGAGGAGAAGACTGAGGGATGATAGGTTGAGGAAGAGAAACTAGATTCCTCCTGCTTGGCCTCAGAGGCAGAGCTAGGTTTGATGAGCGGAATTGACAGATTCTGACTTGATTTAAGAGGAATATGTTTAAAACTTAAGATCTGTCCCAAAGGGGAATAGCCTGCTTCTGGAGGTAGTGAGCTCCCTGTCACCAAAGGTCTTCAAGCAAAGGTCATGTTAACACTTGTCAAGGGTGTGACAAAGGGAATTCCTGTTCAGGTACCAGCTGATCTACATCCTTTCCAACTTTAATGTGCTGGTGTGATTTTTAGAAGGCACAACATTGTGGTAAGTGTATTAGAACTATACAAAAGAAAGTACTGTGTGAAAATTCATTACAAATGAATTTCAGGGAAGATTTCATAGAGGGAGAGGCATTTGAATTGGCTTTTAACAGTCAGGTAGAATTCAGCAAATCCAGATGGGATGGGTAAACATTCCAGGTACAGGAAACCTGGGGTCTGATCTTTAACCTTCAAGGCCTTTAGTTTGGGGCCCCTTAGCTCAGCAGGTTAGGGAACAGACTGGGAAGACTGGACTGTGGGGTAGGTTCAGTCCCAACACCATTTGTTGCTGTTCAGCCATTCTTCAATCATGCTCTACCCTTCCTGACCCCATTTGGGATCTTCTTGGCAGAGATACTGGAGTGCTTTGCCATTTCCTTCTCCAGCTCATTTTACAGAGAAGGAAACTGAAGCACACAGGGTGAAGTGACTCACCCAGGGTCACCCAGCTAGTAAGTGTCTGAGGCCAGATTTGAACTCAATGAAGTATCTAAGATACTTCCTGCCCTCAAAGCCTACATGCAAGGGGGCTCATCTACGGGGCAAGCATTTTGTTTTCAATCATAGCAACCCATGACACCATAATCTTAAGTTATAAAGAGTTTGCCATCCATACCTGTGGAAGTAGCATCTGTACATCCCCAATCATAACCCCTGAAGTATTTTCCCGGGCTTAGATTGGGAGCTGAGGGAATGTCAGGGCTTTGTACAAATCCCAAAGAAAAGACTTCTTTCCTCTATGTCCCTAGCTGTCCTTAGTGATGTTTGCACCAGGGGCAAACACCTCCAATCAGACAAGTTTTGCAGGGAGAGAGGAGCTTCCCATTCTGTGTTACTACCAGTATGTTATTACGAACATAGGTTTTTTTCTACATTGCCAAAGGACTACAAGAGCTCTGTATATCAGGCAACATTGGCCAACACCCCCACCGCCTCACCCTGGTTACACCTGTGCTCACTCCCCTGTAACAATGCCTATCCTGAAGCAGGAATGGGTCTCATCACCAGAGAATGCTGAGACCTAAAGGGGCTGCCTCCAGCTGACTCACTCCTGCCCCACATTTGAGCTGCCCAAGCTGGACAGAAGGGATCTGTGCCATCCACCCTCCTTGCCCTCCATTACCTCAACCTAGCATACAGTCTGTTCCCCCAGGTCTGGTCCACCCCTCTGCTGCTGGCATCCTTGGATTTCCTCTCTCTAATCCCAAAGGGGACCAGCTACGTCTCCCTTCCCAACATGCCTGGGCAGACGCCCCCAGCCGTGATGGGGAGAGGGCATTTAGAGTATGAATTATGGATGGGCACAAAGAAGTGTGTTTTGCCATCAGCTCCCGGCAAGAGCATTGTTCTGCCGGTCCAGGAGCACGCCCCAAGGCGACTCATCCAGCCCCTTTAAACTCAGACATTAGCGCAAGACACACCTCTGACTGGAGACATTTAAGGATCAACAGGGGCCCAAAAAGCCTTTTAAGAACCTATGGGATGCGGAAAACAGGCGTGTTGCCTGGGAGGCTGGGGCCACGCTGCTTGGTGGTTTGGGTCTTGTCATGTGGGGAGAGCGCTCCTCGGAAAACATCTGTTCCTTTCACCTGCAAACCGCTATGGGCCTCCAGAGTCAGGTCCTGGGCTGGGGGGCGGGAGGGCAGGGTGTCCTCGGGCTCCCAGGGATGAGCTCAGCCTTTCCGAAGCCTCCCCTCCCCCAGAGCACTTAGAGAGAGGAGGCTCTTAGCGCTTCAGCTAGATACCGGGCTGGGCAAAGGCTCCCTCTCAGAGGAGCTGACCGCGTGCCCAAGCTTTCAGCAGTCCACAAACTCCACTCTCCCTTCAAGGCCATGGCTGCCACCCCCAACCCATGCTGCAGTCCCGGGGAAGGGTCTCAGGACCTTTTCCATTTAACTCCATGAATTCAGCTCCTGGCTGGGCCATTACTTTATTGAGACCCCTGGCAGGTCACCTCTTTCAAGGAGCCGCTTTTCCCTTACCTGCAAAACATGGACAGAATACTTGGTCGCTGTTGGCATTGAAGTTTGTTTACTTTCCCAGTCAGGAATTGTTAACCCATTTGTTCCTTTAAGAATCTGGAAAAATCTATGAACCCCTTCTGGGGATAATGCTTTTAAATGCCTGTTAAAAAAATAGGATTACAGAGGAAACCCTTTTAAATGAAATACAGCTATTTAAAATAAAATAAAGAAATGCATTTTTTAAGTGGGATGGGGGGTGTTTAGCCTCATAGATACCAGGCTAAGAAACTCCAAAGTCTATATTGAGTGTCCACCATGACCTTCCCTCTGCTGGATGCTGTGGAAGAGACCAGGGATGGAGCAAATAAAGGTCCTGCTCTTGGACTGGGTAGTGGGATTAGAGAGGCAAAGTTCCCACCCAAGACAATGAGAGCACAAGAAAAGTCACTGGATTGAAGATCACTGTGAATTATGCAATGTATGGAATACTTAGTATACTGGGGAGTTGGGAAGGGGAGAGAGCGATGTTGGGCTAGAGTTATCCAGGAGAGATTTTTGGTGGAGATGGGACTAGAGCTAGAGGATGAGGGAAGAGGGATATCGGCAGGGCTGTGCTAAGAGCCAGCCTGTACTGGCTTAGGAGAGCTGCTTGTTAAATTTTCAAAGTGGGCATTTACAGCTCAGAAATCAGCAAATGATACACATCAAGGCTCGATTTATCGAGTTTTTTTAATTTTCTAGCCTGAAGAGAGTGATGGAGGAAATGTTATTGCAGATTAAATTTTGAAGTGTGTCCTGCTACATTTTTTTCCTTCAGAGAGCTGATTGTTAAATATTTATCAGCGTACAGCTGCATGTCACGGTCCCATGATGCTGAGTGTGAGGATCTCACACATGAGAGCTGACTCAGGCAACCATTCGAATCAGGAAGGGCACAAAAGGTGTATGGATGTATAGTTATAGGTATAGGGATATATGTGTGTGTGTGTATATATGTATGTATATGTGTGTGTGTGTGTATTAGGTATGTATAGGTCTAGGTATATGTTGGGTTATACAATGAGACTGAGACAAGACCAATTGCTTTTGAATGCCCTGTTTCTCCCTGGCAGATGTTTTCATGGGATTTGGATCTGGAAGCATTCTTAAGGTTCATCTAAATCAATGCCTGTATTATAGAGATAAGGAAATATATACTTATTTTATTTAGTCTAAGTAAGTATGTTATTTAGTCCTTTTCAGTCATGTCTGACTCTTTGTGACTCCATTTGGGGTTTTCTTGGCAAAGATATTGGAGGGGTTTGCCATTTCCTTCTCCAGTTCATTTTACAGATGAGGAAACTGAGGCAAACAGGGTTAAGTGACTTGCCCAGGGTCACATAGCTAGCAAATGTATGAGGCCAGATTTGAACCCAGGTCTTCCTTACTCCAGTGCATTCTATGTACTAAGCCACCCAGCTGCCCATATATATATATATTTACATATATATATATATATATATATGTTTACATATATATATATATATATGTTTACATATATATATATATATATATATATATACACATACATACACATAGGCATATGGTTTATATTTACTTACTGGCATGTATGTTATTTTCCCCAGTAAAATGAAAGGTTGTTGAGGATAGGGGCCAGTTTCATCTCCAGCATCTAGCATCTAGCAGGCCCTCTATAAATGCCTGTCAAACAGATGAATGAATGAATGGATGCCTAGCATCCTACAGATACTCCATTAATGTTAAGGAAAGCTCAGAGTTTCCCTCTCTGTCTCCCCCTCCCAGAAGCCATGGTGAAGGATGACATGACTAGCTCCATCAGCCAGTATCACAATGAGCCTAGCAGCGGTAAGTCTCCTTCCCTAAGATCTAACTGACCCTCCAAATATGCCCCAACATGTGGCCGCCACGAGGCAGATGTCATTCTGTATAGATTATTTGCGGGATTTCCGTCCTTCTTCTCTTCTGTGCTGCCCACAAGAACCTCGGCAGAAGAATCATCCCTTGTCTGTTCTGAGGGTAAGACCCCACCTCCTCACCTGGTGGCAAACAAAGTAGCCAAGAGAACCCAGAGCCCCTGAAGGGTCTGATCTCTGCCATGGTGCAGACACATGTTTCTCCATGGCAGGCGTTTTCATAGATCCACGAATGGGGTTTGGATCTGGAAGAGATTCTAGGGCCCAGCTAATCAATGCCTTTATTTTAGAGATGAGGAAATCGTGGCCCAAGGTCACACAAACAGTAAATGGCAGATCTAGGATTTTGAACTTGGGTTCAATCTTTTCCTTCTCAAATTCTCAGTGCAATCTTTCTTCAAGGATAATCTGTTATTTTTTTTTCCTCCTGAACAGCAAATTCTTTTTTTTTTTTTAAATTTGATCCATGAATTCAGTGTCTGTGTGACATATATGAGATCCTAACTTCCCTGAGGGTCCCATGACAGGAATACAAATACAGCCCTTGGGTCTATGTGAAAACAAGCCCAGGAGTGATGATAAGTACATGACCTCAGAGCGAATACCACCTGAGGAGAGAGAGGAGGAAGAGATCAGTCCTGATCAGAACAGGGAAGCTCCACACCAGGAACCAACCTTGACCTCTAGCCCTCAGAAGGACTCTCTCTTGCATTCTGCTCCTGCAGCCCAGGACCGTCTAGTCACACCTTCATAGGTTGGTTATTTCAGCTAGCACAGAGCCGCTAAAGATGGAAGGATTGGGAACGAGTTGGGACTTTTAAAGAACAAATAGGTAACAAATGATAATACTCTGAAGCTAACCTTGAATAGCTTGTAATCTCTGAGTAACAGTCACCAGCAGGTAGCCAAACCTCTCTTCCTCTCTCATGCTCTCTCTCTCTCCTTTCCTCTCACTTTCTTCACCTTGCTTTTCTCACTTTCTCCATTCTCACTTTCCGTGAAGCCCCCACAATTTTTTAGAATATAGAACTGAAACTTTTAAAAATATGTGTTATGCTTTTGGAATAAAGTTTTGTTTCCTCAATTTTGTTCTTAATTTTAAAGGCAGGTGAGTTAAAGATCTGTTTCTATAGGAATAAGTAGATAATAGATAGACAGACAGACAGACAAATAGATTTGCTTTTTACATTAACACCCTGACCTTAGTTGCTTTTTTCTTATGGCTGGAGATACTGCATAGAAAGGAAAGACCCCTGACCCCAGCAGTAGTTAAGCTAGCACCTCCTATTCACTCGAGTACTTGGGAAAGCAAGGTCTCCTAATTGACAGTCATGTCTCTATGACCCCAGCAGTTGGCAATGATCAAACACATTCAACTGAATGGGAATTTCTCTTTCCTAGGCTCTGAGCACCTAATTTTCAGTCAGAATCTCCAAGCTCCAAGGGCTCTCATAGGTAGTGAAGAGTGGTCACTAAATCCCCACTTGAAGATCTCCACTAATGTGGAGTTCCCTGTCACCCAAGGCCACCTGTTCCACTTTGGATCAGCTCTTATTGTCAGCAATTCTTTCTTCTGGCCAAAATCTGTCTTACCTATTCTTTGAAGTTCTGGTACCTGGAGGCAAGAAGAACAATCCTACTTGTCCATGACAGCCCTTCAAATCCTTGAAGATGGTGTGTGTGTGTGTGTGTGTGTGTGTGTGTGTGTGTGTGTGTGTGTGCGCATGCGCACGCACGTGCAAGTGCACACACACACTACCCAGCTATTCCTAAAGCCTTCTCTTCTTTAGAGTGGACAGCATTAATACCTTCAACTGATCCCTCCGTGTCAGGATTTCTCAGCCTCCTCACCTTCCTCTACACATGCTCCCATTTTGTGAATGTCTTTTCTAAAAGATGGTGCCCAGGACTGAACTCAGTACTCCATGAGGTCTGACCAGAGCAAAGAAAAGGTGATCAGTGTTAATGAGGTCAAAAGAAAGTCAGATTTGGAGCCAGAGATCCAGTCCAAAATGTCTAATGGACAGCTGCCGACATGGAACAGTAGCTCAGGAGAGAGAATGAGACTGGAAATATATCATCTGAATCAATAAAGCCCCAGGAGCTGACAAGGTCACCAAATGGAAGGAGAGAGAGGGAGGTAGAGAAAGGGAGAGAGACAGAGACAGAGAGAGAGGAGAAGAGAGACAGAGATAGAGAGATAGAGAAAGAGGGAGGGAGAGAGAGACAGAGAGGGAGAGAGAGACAGAGAATGAGAGGAGGAGGAGAGAGAGACAGAGACAGAGAAGAGAAACATAGACAGAGAGAGGAGAAGAGAGACAGAGAAAGAATAAGAGAGAGGAGGACAGAGAGAGAGAGAGAGAGAGAGAGAGAGAGAGAGAGAGAGAGAGAGAGAGGAGAAGAGAGAGCCCATCTGATACCTTGCCTTCTGATCCCCTTTCTTAGGAATGATGAGCCAGTGTGGGAGACTGACAAAGGAACAGCCAGACAGGTAGAAAAAGAACCAGGAGGTCCCTGGCCCTGGAGTCAGGAGGACTTGAGTTCAAATCTGGCCTCAGACACTTACTAACTGTGTGACACTGGGCAAGTCATTTAACCTTGATTGACTTCCCCTGCCCTCTCCCCCAAAAGAGAGAGCAGTGTTTGAAAACCCAGAAAAAGGAGTGCATCCAGGAGATGAGGGTGGTCAGCATTGGTAAGGGATGCACAGGGGCCAAAAGGGCATGAGGACTCAGTGAAGGGATCTTCAGTGACTTTGGAGAGAGCAGTTTCAGTGGAATGATGAGGTGGAAGACCCCTGAGCCTCCGGGGAGAGGAGAAGAAATTAAGGCAGCTGATGACTTTCTCAAGTGGTTTAGCCAAGAAGGGAAGGAGAGAGAGAAGATAAGGGGATGTTAGGGGTCTTAGGAGCTAGTGCGGTTTCTAAAGGCTAGAGAGATGTGGGTGCAGTTATAGGCATCGGTAGACCAGGCGACATTGAAGACTAGATTATGTCACTAAAAGTCCCTCACCATCACAAATACCCCACAGCCCGGATCATTCTGTGCCCTGGTGCCCATCACCCTTTTCCCATACAGAACCAGAAAGAGATCAGAAAATGTCCTATCTAGGTAATCAGCCTAACCTAATTAACAGTGTCTCCTCTCTGCTCTTCTCTGTTGGGCCATGCGATGTAAGGTGGGGAGCAGCCATGCATTCTGGGGTTCCCCACCGTGCCCCCAGCACAGCCGGACCAGGCCAATGCTCACCATCTCCACACTCCTCCTCACTCATTATTCACACCAAACTGACTCACATTTACGTGATGTTCCTTCCCACCTTTCTACCACTCTCAAACTCATAAACTTCCAAGCGCTTCACATAGATGCTAACTCTCCATCAACACTCACCCCTCCCTCCTCCACACCCAGGCCGCTTTTCCAGTCTCTGCAGTGACTCTTTGATGGTGCCCTCACATAGGTTAGGGTAATAAGCTGGCAGCTGTGCCCACTGTCTCAGGCACAGGCACATAGCTCTCTCCTTTTCTCTGCCTCCCAGCTTTTGACATGTAATGAGCTTGAAGTCCATTAAGAGACACTCAAAAAATATATTCTTTTCACAGAAATTATCGTCTCTCAGTCAGTCTACAAGCATTTATTAAGTGTTCATGCTATGCCAGGCATTTGTCCCAGGTGCTGGGGATATAATCTCAAAAGGCAAAAACTCAATGCTTTTGCTCAAGGACTCCTATTCTAATGGGAAGAAAACACACAAATATCTGCACATACAAGAAACATACGGTGGAAATGGAAGGAAGGTGAAGAGGGCAGGTTCTAGCAGTAAGGGGGAGAGGGGTAGAGGTAGGGAACCATGAGAAGCTTCTTGAAGACACTGGGATTTGAGCTGAGTCTTGAAGGCAGTCAGGGAAGCCAAGAGGCAAAGGCAAGGAGGAGGAGAGAGAGCATTCAGCCAGGGCAGTCAGAGTTGGGGGATGGGATGTCATGAGGGAATAGCAGTGTCTACATATCCTAGATACATGGTGGAGAGGGAAGGGTAAGAAGACTGGGAAGGTAGAAAGGGGGCAGGGGATGAAGGGCTTTAAAAGCCCAACAGAAGGTTTTAGATTTGATCCTGGAGGTAATAGGAAGCCACTGGAATTTATTGAGTGGAGGGTTGGGGAGGTACATTGTCAGACCCTCTTAATTCCAACTTTTCTCATTTGCCTACAGACAGTGGGGTTCCTGAGCCAGCCATCTGTGTCATCACCACAGCCGCCATTGATATCCACCATCCTGACACCTCCTCTGACCGGTTCACAGTGGACATGCCCCTGAAACTGGGTAGCAATGGCACCTGTCCCAGCATCACATCCGGGAGCATGTCCTGCTCCATGGGCAGCTCAGTCACATGGGCCCAGAGTGACAGTAGTCAGACCCTGGGCTCCTCAACAGACTTCAGCACGACCCGGGATGAGTCCTCAGAGCTCTGCCCGTTGGAACAGGGGGGGAATTTCCCCCCGGTGAAGGCCTCCCAGCCCCAGGTCAACAACACTGTGGTCCAGGAACTCCTCTCCTCCTTCTCGGAGGATTCCTGCTTAGCACAGAAAGGATTGGACCTAGTAAATCTCAGAAGGCCTAGCCCAGCCAGTTCAGCCCTGACCAGCCCAGAGGTAGAACACAGGGTAAAGATGTATAATGAGAAGAATCAGGAAGGCTTCACCGTCTTTCAGATCAAGCCAGTCCTCCATGTTCAACCAAACCCCACCATGTTTGAGGATAAGTACAAGTCTTTGGAATCCAAAGATCAGAAGTTGAACCAGATCCCAGAGTCCTGATGCGCTTTAAAGTGGGGTTAGGGGAGGCAGGTGTGGGTAGTGGGGAGGGATTGGAAAAAAAAAGGGAGGGGGGAGGATGGGAGACAGCTTTCTCACAGCTTGACGGGGGACCATTACCAGCCAGAAGCGGGGCCTTACTCCTGGGGTGGCCTGAGGACAAGCCTCCAGACTCATGAGTCCTGACAGCCAGCACAAATCCATTCTGTTCCGACTTCTGAAGGTCCATCCGCTAGCCCTTCGGCAAGGCCACCGCACTGTACAGTGACTTCACAAATGTTGAGGTTCTTCAGGCCCCATTCTGGGCCTGGGAGGCAGGAAGGGTGGACTTTGGGGGGCTGGAGGAGGGCAGCGAGGTGATGGCAGTTGTTTTTTTAAAAGTCATTTTCACAAAGACTGTTGGCCCTTATGCCAGGGTCTGACTTTAGCCGGGGAGAAGATAGCTGAGGGTCAAATTCTCTTTCTCTGATTTCTTACATTTTCTTTGTACACAGCAGCTCTAAACCCCTTTGTACCAATAGTGTGGCTGGTTTTTATTTACTTTACTTCTGTGTATTTTTGACCCCAAAAGCCCTTTTTAGAGAATCTTCTGGAAGGTCAAGACAGGAAGAAATGGTATCTGAGGCTCTCTCTGTTTCATTTGGCTTCCAATCTCATATTTCAGTCTCATATGTCCTATTTCTCATATTTCAGTCTTATTTTTTATCATCAGTATCTTTGAATATTCAGAAAACAAATCTAGTTTTTGTCTTGGGACAACTCAGTAAAATCCAAGAGTGTGGGAATGGAGAAGGGGCTTTAATGATATTATTTTTTAAAAACCTAGCTAAATTTACAAAGATATTGAGTGAGGGGAGTCCAAGGTAGGGGGAAAGGGTCTTCCAGCCTTGAGACCCAGGCCAAGCCTACAGAAGTGACTAGACTTTTATCATTAAGTTTCAGATACTGTCAGGCTGTTAATTAGGGAGGCGTAATGGGAGTTAGGGAGTTCAGCGTCCAAGAAATAATTATAGTTAGCAAGGGTAATTTTAGTTAAAGTAGTGTACCTGTGTCTGAACTCAAGATGAGTTCTCCCACGTTACCTTACCGTCTAGGCCGCAGCAGCCTGTCCAGTGCCACTGGGTAGAGATTTTCAGGCTACTTGCCCCAGGCACAAAATTATTTATTAAGTGAGGTCACTCCTTCCCACAATCAAGTCCGTCAGGCAGCTACACTCAATTAGGTCATGCTGTGGTATAGGATGCACCTGAGTTCCTGGTCTTGTCACCTGGTCTCCTGACCATCTCTCCTTCTGAAGGAAGATGATTGGCTAGGTCGTCTGTGCTAACTTCAAAAGGGTCAGGATTTTATTTATTAATGTGCGTGCTCCCTCCCCTTAATCAACAAACAGTAAGCCTCAAAGTGAGACAGACCCAGCCCTCCAGGATCGTACAGTCTAGGCAGGGGAAGACAACACGGATAGGTATATAGCCAGTCAATCAGCATTTGTTAAACATCTATTATGTGCCAGGCACTGTGCTAAGCTCTGGGAATACAAAGAAAGGCAAAAACATGGTCTCCGTCTTCAAGGAGACCACAGTCTGCTAGGGGAGACCTGTAAACGATTATGTACAAACAAGACATATTTTTGTTGTGGTTCAGTTGTTTTTCAGCCAGGTGCAATAGGATAAACTATAGATGATCTTGGAGGAAAGACACTAAGACTGAGGAGGACCAGGAAAGGCTTCTTGCAGGAAGGGGGTTTAACAAGAGACTAGAAGAAAGCCAGGAGGCAGAGATGAGGAGGGCAAGTATTCCAGGCATGAGGGACAACCAGGGAGAAAGGCTTAGTTGTATATGCATCATCAGTAAGAGGTAACTTTGGGGGATGAGGCACTAACACTTGGTTGGGGAATGGGAAAAGCCTCCTGCAGTAGGTGGTGTTTGTCCTGAGGAAGAGGCAAGGAGGGGGCACCTCCTGAGCCTGGAAGATGGCCTGGGCAAAGCCGTGGAGATGGAGGAAAAATAAAAGGTGAGTCTGACTGGACCGTGGCACATGTGAAGGGCAGTGAGGTGTAACTGAAGGCAGGCCACGGAAGGCCTTCCCTGACAAATGGAGCACCGCCATGAGTTGTGGCCTAACTCTTGCCTTCTCCGGTGGCCAAGCCTAGGCAGGTGAGCCCTTGCCCACAGACCAGGCCCATGGTACATCACCAGCCCATGGCTGGCGGAGCCTCCAAGAACCTCGTCACTCCACCTGGGACAAGGCCTCACCGAGCTGTTACAATTGGTGCGGTCAGATAACACATCGCTGACACCAGCTGCTGACCATGTTACACAGAAATTTGAACGAACACATTTGTGAATCTAGTAACACTTTGGACTTACTCTCCTACCCCGTGTACTCAAGCAAAGATACTACATCTTAGCCTTGGGGCTCCAGAGGGTCTTGAGGGTCAATGGGAGGGATTCTTTCAATGCTATTGGCCAAAACCCCCTCTTCTGGTGTGTTCTTCCCAACAGCAATCACCAGCTAGAGTTAAGATCTTCCTCTACATCATGGATTGCCCAGTGATGAGTGCCCGAATGTCATTTAGCCAATTAGCATGAATTAGAGATACTTACTGAAAAGATATAGCAAGAACCAAAATACAAAATGCCCCATCCCTATCACAAAGCACAGAAGCACAAAACATGCCCGGTCAGGAAGACCCTCTCCCTTCTGCACTTTGTCCCCTGGGGAGAGTGGGCTCAAGACTAGAGGAGTAGCTACAAATCATCCACCCCATCAAGTTCACATCTGAATGTCCCATAGTCAACAGAGGAAGTGCTTCTCTCCCTTGCAGAACATGGTGCTGGCAGCCTTCAGTCTGCCCCTTGGGGCTATGCCTGTCACTGGGCTCAGCCGCCAATTAATTCTGTGATGGGCTCCCATTCTTGGACCTTTTGAGATCTGACAAAGTCCTGTACCAAAGGAAAGAAGACACAAAGAGCAGCTGACCCCCATCCCAGACCACAACTTTGCCCAAGGGCAAACCAGCTGGCATGATGGGGTAGAAAGTACACCCTCATTGACATTCCTGCCTTTTGTGGCCAGGAAGGAAAAAAGGAGAGTGGGTTTCCCCGTTGGGACCTTTCAACAAGTCTTTTAACATCTCTTGGCCTCAGCTTCCCCATCTATAAAATGGGGGCGTCTTAAATTTGGCTTTGGAGATCCCCCTCCAGCTGTAAAATCCTGGGATCCCCATAGCAAGCTTTAAGGATTACAAAGCACTTTCCTCCCAACATCCCTGGGAGGTGGGTAAGACATTTCTAAAAAGGCAGCACACGGGGCAGGAGTGGTGACCCAGGGCTTGGGGCTGGGAGGACAAGGAGTGGCAGCTTTGTAGCAATGAGTCAACAGCATAATGTCACGCCATAGAACATAATGGGCTTGGATGCTACATTAACCATTACCATGAATGCCCAGAAGTAATAGGAGGTGATGGGCCCTCTGTGTTCTGCCCTGGTCTGACCACACCTGGAGTGTCACATTCCAAACATGTCATACTGGATGCCATGGCTGGTCTAAGAGTCACAGGGATATATACTGGATGTGTGATCCTTAACCTCTTCATTTCCCCCTGCCCTCCCTACTCCCTATCCCTGAAACTCCCCAAGACTATAAGCTGCAGAACAGTTCCTGGTCCTCATTGGTAGAAGGAGCTGACAGGCCTACACCATCAATATCCTAAGAAAGGCCCAGAGGAAGGGGAACAGGAGAACGAGGGTCTAGATGAAGGAAATGGGGATTGCAGTGTAGAGCAGAGAAGACTGAGGTGGAAGGAGGAGGAAGAGGAGGAAAGAAGAGGAAGAGGAAGAGGAGGAAGAGGAGAAGACTCTAACAGCTGCCTTAAGTGTTTGCCTAGTTACCAAGTGGAAGACAGACTCACTGTGTTTTTCATGGGCTTAGAGGGCAGAATTATGGGTAGTAGTTGGCACTTGGGGCAAGGCAGATTTCAGCTGTAAGAGAAGACACACTAATAACGGGATCTCTATAAAAGTGGAGTGGGCTGCCCAGAAATTAAGTGAGTTACTCCTCATTGAAGAAAGTATGAATGTGCACTAGGGTCATAGGATCACAAATCCAGACTTGATCTTCTAGGCCAATCTCCCTTTCCTCGAGGAAACTGAGGCTCAGAGAAGGCAAGGGTCTTGGTTAGGGCTACAGAGATAGTAAATAGCCCAAGCAGTATTTGAACTCAGACCCTCAGGCTCCAGAACCTGAGGATTCTTGTCCAGGTAGAGGTCAAACTAGATGGTCTCTGTGTTGAATTGAAATCCTGAGATCAGTAAAGGCAACATTCCATTGAATTCTGCTCAGAAAAAATGCAAGAATTATGGAAACCTGGCCTGAGAGTCTCCCTGACATCTGGGTTGCCAAAGTCACAGAGGTGTCCCAGTCTTATCTCTGTCATTTCCTGACTTTGGGTTAGTCCTTGTACCTCTCTCTCTCTCTCTCTCTCTCTCTCTCTCTCTCTCTCTCTCTCTCTCTCTCTCTCTCTCTCTCTCTCTCTCCTTCCCATGGAGAGCCATGATCACTTCCCACTGGATGATGTAATGCTTTCCTGGAGACCACAGCAGGCTCTAAAATTCCATAGCATGGGTTCAAATCCTGCCTCTGGTGGTGATGATGTGACCTTGGGCAAGCTACACCCTCTTCTGTAAAATAAAGGAGATGGACTAGATGGCCTTTCAGCTGAAATATCTTCTAGCTCTTAGGGCTGTGATCTTCGAGAGATCCTCAATATTATTTTATTAACTGATTCATATGGCTCTGCCTATCTTATCGCAGCTACCAGGTAAGATGGGTCCCAGAAACGACAGATGAATAAGGGGAGGCTCAAATACTTAGATGACTTCCCTGGGCTTACATGGCTCGTGAGCGCCAAAGGCGGGATCGAACTGAAGTCTCTTCCTGACTCCTGGCTCAGTGCTCCATAAGAAATCCCATTCTCTGTTGCTGTTGCTTTCATGTGGGGACATGTTCAGTATCATCCATAGAAACTGTCAATTGAGCAGATAAAGGCACCCAAGAGGGATTGAGGCCTTCATCAGGCAATGACAGATAAATGAAGGAATGCACTGAAAAGTGGGGTGGGGAGGGTGCTTGTAGTCGTGCCCCTGCAATGTCTCCCACCTCTTCTCTGGTCCCACCACCCCAGTGAGAATCTAATGCAGGGCTTCATTTCCACCACCCTGGGTGATTGCAATGGCCTCCCAACAGTTTTTCCCATCACCCCTCTCCTCCAAATCATCCTTCATGTACTGACAGACTAATTTTCCTTATGCATAGATCTACCTGCTCATGTCCCATCTCTGCTCAAAAATCTTCAGTGGCTCCCTGTCACCTAAAGTTCAGATTGGCATTCAAGGCCCCGTGTAATCTGCTGCCACCTTATCTTACTTCACAAAATTCTTATTCCCATTTGCCACACTCCATTCAAACTGGGTTGTTCTCTGTTTTCCATGCTTATGCCCATGGCACAATGTATTGAAATAGGGAAAGTTCGAGTCCCAGTTAGAATGCTCCCTGC